TTTAAATATTTTAAATAATTAAAAAAGTAGATCAGAGACATATTTATAGTAATTATGCAGGCAAATTTGTCTGCAAATCTCTACCAATTAAGGGATATCAATATGTATTGTATGAGTTTAAAAATAAAAGTTTCAAAAAATAAAAAAGAAATAGTTCATACTGTACGAATTATTGCAAATACTCAATTTATTTAGTTTTTTATTACAATGGAATAAGCTATTTATATGCTATTTAATTTCTAACTTAATTCAAATGTTTGCAACCAAAGCCGATTTTTCAGTTAAAAATTCATCCACCAATTGCTCAGGTGAATAATCCATATTTCTGGTATCATTTAATATACTGGTACTATTTACATTAATTATTTCATTTTCAATGTTAAATTGAGACAAATCAACAATTTCACTGATAATTAATGTATTTTGCATATGCTCAATGGTTTCAGAGTCTTCTTCCAAATTAGATGAATCTTCTCCTGAATCCATTACCTCAGCAACTGCTGAAATGTTAACAGCATGTAATTCCGCCTCAGTAAGTTCTTTTCCATAGTCATTTAATTCAGATTTAATGTTTGTCATATAGTAAGATCTAATTTTTGTCATACTCTCTAAATTGTTGACACTTAATCTTATTCTTTTGTCACCGATCATCTATTTTAAAATGGAAAAATTCCTCTCACAGCTTGCTTGTGATGGAGAAATTGAAAAAAGTCTGCATGCCAATTCAGCCAAATGCTGAGATTTGGTTTTTATTGATCCCCACCATAAAATTGGGGTATCCATTCCAGATATATATGATAAGTCATATGGTGGCAATCTTGCATCATAATGGCAAAGTTGTGTAACTAATTCTTGACTTTTTTGCTTAGTATGGTTAAGACTTAGCTAAAGAGAAGTAGCAGTAAGAGCTGCTTCTCTAAAGCTTCTGTCTTTAAGTCCAAATCCTAAAATTTTAAATTTTTTTAAATAAAAAAAATAATAATAATTTAAATAAAATAATACTTACCACAATAACAGAGATGGATAAAATATGATAGTGAATAGATTAGATGGTAAAATTCTTTAAACCTTTTATTAAAAACCTTAATTGCATATTGTCTAAATAGATTTATTGAAGATATTTAGTAAATTGTTATCCCAAGTTTAATGAGGTAATTAAAGCAATCAGCTAAATTTGCTGAATTGCTTTCTAATATATCTATAACCTCTTTAATTGGTGTCCAAAGAGCCTTAATTTGCCAACAGTTCATAAAAAATTCTTCATCAGTTAATAACCTAAAAACTTCAGTATTGGAAATAATGTCTCAATGCTCCAATAGTATTTTTATTATAAAAAAAAAGCTTGTAATTTATTATATTATTCATATAAAAATAATAAAAACTTAATTTACTTACCTAGTCAAATATGGGTCTAGCATGTAATATAGAATCAGTTGTAAAAAATAATGAAGCCTATCGAGTTTGACACCATGTATAAAGCCCTTCAAGTCGAATTTTCATCTCATTTAAACCTTGTTTTAGGTATGAATTTGCTTGATGTGATTCCTTAAAAAATTTCACCACTTTATTACATTTATTTATTAGATCTTTAATATTATTGTCTTTGACTAAATTAGATGCAATTAGATTAATTGTATGTGCTGCACAACGTATATCCCAAATATGGGAATACATTTCTTGAATTTTTTTTTGGAAATAACGACAATTAGATCCTGCATCAGTAACCACTGCAGCAAATTTTTTACTTCCAATATCTTCAATTAAATTAGATATTTCTGATGATAAAAACTCCCTGTAATTATTTCTGAAGAATAATTTTTTAATTTAAGAAGATACTCTTTTCTGTCTACTATAGATACTATGTAGTTATAAAGAGAGTCTGCACGTGGAGATGTCCAACCATCTAACACTAAAATAAATTAATAATTATGAATATTAATAAATGTAGTACTTTAAATATATAAATTAATATATAATGCATACTTAATATTAAATTATTGCTATGCTTAAGTTCCTTATTAACTAAATTGGTTACTCGTGCTACTTCAGTATCCAAAAGCTGTTCTGAAAGCATAGATCATGATGGTGGATCATATTTTAATTTTTTAAATAAATCCTTTATGAAAGGATTTTCAATCACATTAAATGGAATTCCAGTCATTACCCATGCCTTTAATAATGATTGATCAATTCGGCATTTTAATTTTAAAAGAATACAGTTTGCATCTTGTAAATTAACTATTTGACTATGAATTGTATTTGCTTCTTCAATTAATTTTTGGCGCCAATAATTACTAATATTTTCAGGACAAAGTTCACAATGGTTGGCTAAATGTGCTTTTATAACTTGTGGTTTTCCACGTTTCCAACCAGTTAGACAATAATAACAATTCACTCTATAATGTCCGCTACCCCTGCTAGATCCTTTTAAAAAAAATGACCATATCTCATCAAAGCTAGGACCACAAGTTCTTTGTCTCTTGTTTGAATGTGTTAAGTTAGAAGCAGAGTTATTACTAGAAACAGAGAGCTCATTCGTGCTTTCTTTTTCAAGACTTGTCATTTTTAAATTTGAATTACAACAGATAAAAAAAAAATAACTATTTATTATTAAATAAAGCAATTATGTATCATGTATAGTTTCTTAAGCTCATTATTAATTTATTACTACATATCAAAACGTAAGTACATAGTTTAATTACATAATTATGATTTATTGCATGATAAACTGCATACTACTATATTTACAACTTTCTATTATAATTATGACTTACACCCGGGGCTACTACCTACATCATTACTACTAAAAAGTTGCAACTTTACCGCAATCGGTCATAATTAATTACCTCAATACAACTGCATCACTAGTTAAACACTAGACAATTAAATTTCCAAATTTGCTTGTGCAACTTTCGATTTTGAGGCTCGTATTTAAAAAAATAAAAAATTTTTTTATCAGAATTACAATCTAGCAGGCTTTATTATGATTGGCTGATGTTGCAGATTATCTTATTGTAACAATTAACTATCTCAAAAATGAATTCTGCCACAAATACGAACTCGGGAAGGTTATCACATAAAATTAGAAACTACACCTTTGGTTCTGACATACTAAAGTAATTCAGAAGTTAAATGAGAGGTATGTTTGGCATTTCAATTTAGCCAATAAGCGTAAACAATCCATTAAACTTGATAAAATAACAGTATTTTTGAAGGTTTTACATTGCTAATCTATTTTATCTATAACTTTCTAAAGACATATACATACGTACCACTGATAAAATAAAATATTAACATGAGCAATAAAACATGAATTTGTGGACTTTATGGAAGACTAAAATATAGTATCATGCCTAGAGATGGGCTAACAATACAAAAAAAAGGTGATTCTAAATTGAGCATTAATAATTTTGAAGAAAATTTTTTTCAATAATTCGCGAGGGTATAACATTTGAATTTTTAATTTTTAAGTTCCATATCTAAGATTATTAATTTAGAATTAAGTTTAGAATTCTTTGGTGTTAGCTAACTGGAGTCATATATCATTAAAATTTGTTTTTTTTTATATTTTTATTGTCTTCTAGAGAGACTTTACAGAGGTTTTTTTTTTAATACGCACAGTAGTAATTTTTTAATAAGATCTTGATTGTAGATTCTGTTTATACTAAGATGATTTTTAACTTTGAGTTGTTAAGATTTCGTAGTAATAATTCGTTTATTCATGCCAATAGAGTTCTATATCAAATATTTAGTTAAAATTGCAAGTAATTTCGATTAACCAATAATATTTTACCATAACAAACTATAAAAACCAGTCAATAGATATGGCTAAGCTCTCAATTGCTGATAAATTGGATGAATTAGACATATCTGGTGGTAATAGCTTTCCAAATCAAGATTTATCTTTCCTCAATAGATTCAGGTTCCCTAATATATGCATATATATGTGCTATCGTCATAATACAATTCTGAAAAAGGATTCAACATTGATTAAAAAGGAATACATATTGTACCTTTCCAAAGTTAAATTTATGTATTACTTGGGGATTAACAATAAACTATATAAAATGGTTAGTTATAAGATATATATGTTAATGACTTACTATTAAATGCTTTAAATAGAAAGGCCTCATTGACTGGTAAGAGAAACTGCAATATATCTGTAATGTAACATTTCATAGCCAGGGCGTATTGTTTGTACTTCACCTATTTTCCCATGAGCGAGTTGACAATATAAAATTATAATTTAATGTATGTACGTACGTAATTACAACAGGAGGAACCATTGATGTTACACGACTGATCCTTCACTCGGTGTACACCATATAAAAAATGATTTTACAATACCAGACCATTCTGCTAGTACATGTTATGATTATTCCAACACACTTTATTATAATAAAAATGGTGTTTCATAACATGTACTAGCAGAATGGTCTGGTATTGTAAAATCATTTTTTTATATAGGTGAAGGATCAGTCGTGTAATATCGACGGTTTTCCTGTTCGTAATTACATGTCACTTGATTAGAGATGCGATCTGGATATCTGTTAATTCAAATTTTAAAATAATATTTTTATAAAAAAAATCTGGATATCTGCATATCCATAATTTTTAAATAGGAAAATGGATAACTGATCACATTTCTACGCTTGACAGTTATAAAAAACAATTTCTGATCCATGCACGAAATCATGTAACTTGGTATGATACAAATATCTAGCGGGGTTGAGTCAACGGAAATTCTGAAAGACCGATTCCTGAAAAGGACATGATACTGACAAGATTAGCTGATATTAGCTATAATGCTGGCCAATTTAGTCGAATTATGTTCTTTCGGGAAAATGGCAGGATTTCAGAGTAGAATATGAGTCAATGCCCCCATATATTAATTAGACTATCATAATTACCTTTTTTAATAAACTTTATTTATCTGTGCATGAAATGCGCATAGCTCAAGTAACCTTTCAATATGTTTGCATTGCGCATAACCAATTAAAGTCTGACATTAGCCCTCTTAAATTTATACTCAAGTCTATGTTTTTACTTAATTCATGGTCTAAAGTGTGGTACAAATAATTAATTTAGTTACTAAAAATAAATGTTTAATTCATATTGATATGTTTTGATGAGCTATTTAATTTCATCACTAAAGAAATAGCTTCAAACATTATCTTCCAGTCATCTTTTAGCGAAATAAAGCTTCACACCATCCTTTAAAGAAATATTGCATCCTTAAACTAAATGGTTTATCTGGATATCAGTCTCATAAAGGGACTTGGTGAATTATGTCGAGGTATCATGATTGATTATTAATTCGGTCATTAATCAAATTTCAAATTATGCTAATCCCAAAACCTTTTGCACTGTTAGAAATTGTAACCGAGAATGAACAAAACCAAGGAGCAAGCTATAACTTCTATAAAAATTTAAGACTTGTAGAATCGTGTCAAGGTATTATGAATATCAAATTTCAATTTGATTTGGATTATATACATACTAATCTCAAAACTTTTTACATTGTTAGAAATTGTAGGACTTGCAGAATTGTGTCAAGGTATCATGATTGGTTGTTAATTGAACATCTGTCAAATTTCAATTTGATTTGAATTATTAGTAACAGTGACAAAATATGAGCAAAACCAAGAAATAAATTATAATATCAATAAAAATATTGTTCACATATTAGATTCTAACTCACTTTATCATGTGATGCATCAGGTTCTACACCGACCTTACAACTGACATTTACTGCTAATCAGCTAAATGGTTCTCTCACCACCTCTACTGATACAGCATTATTCGATAGCATGTTTAATTCAAGTTATTTGGAATTTGAAGAAAACCAATCTGCGCCAATCATGCCTTTATGTATTATTCCTTACAATATTAATTCTGCTAACAGAAGCGTTTGTAAAAAGTCTAAAACAAAGATCAAGAAATCCACAAAGCCCCCCAATGCCTTCATTTTTTTTAGGAAAGAAAAACTACAAGAAATTAATGAGATAATTCCTAACATCACCCAAGGCGATGCTTCCAAAATAATCAGCTTAATGTGGCATAACAAACCGTTAGAAGAGCGCTTAAATTTTGAAAAAAAACTACAAGAAGTTAAGGAGATAATTTCTAACATCACTCTAAGTGATGCTTTCAAAATAATCAGCTTAATGTGGCATAATGAACCATCAGAAGAGCACTTAAAATTTGAAAAAAAAGCTAAAGAGGCTAAAAATAAACATATAATGAAATATCCAGAATATTATAACCAACAAAAACCTAAAGTGAAGTAGTGAATAAATAGAAATAAGTAGGTATCATTTAAATTTAGCATAAACTAGATATAAAAAATTCAGAATCTTATCCTAACTATCATAAAAAAAGAATACATGTACAACAACAAACTCTATACTAATCAGTATTTGTATAATTTTTTTTTTAGTTTATTAGGATGGCATGTTTCTAGACTTAAATCCGACAGTAAATAATATTCAGTCCAGGTTGTCGGTGTCCTGGCTTTAAAAGTTGAGTAATTTATTATCCGTTAAAATGATATTTGTACTACAGTGCAGGACAGCAAGAGATATTCAATCTATACATATAGGCCCAATTTTTGGTGCTTATATAATTAATTCTGATTGGCTAATTTTTGAGCAATTGATTTTGATTGGTTAAAAGCCTATATATGTTTTCTTTTTTTTTTATATTAAACGCCAATTTTTTGAACTCATATAAACTTCAACCTCTTATAACTTTTTTAAAACAAAGAATAAAAAAAACCCTCTGACAGAATTGTAGTTTATCTAAAAATCTATTAATTTGTCAGAGGGTTTTTTGATTTAGCTTGTTTTAAAAAAGTTATACCACTTTAAAGTTTTATTAATAGACATTGGATGTCTCTTGCTGTCCCGCACTGTAGAAACGAGAGATTACAAAAAAAGAGATATTTAAATAATAAAACTTTGCTGTACAGTAAGAATTAGGATTCAATTTTATGTAATATAATATAGGAATGTAACATTGGTATTTTATTTAAAATTGAAGATGCATTTTTTTTTGCTACAATAATTTAGAAAATTATCTAGAGGTTCGAATTTAAAATTTAAATACTGTACAATACACATAAAGACAAATAAATCAAATTTTTTTTTTTTTTTTTTTCATAAATTAAAAATTCACGGAAAAATGATCCCAAATGCAAAGTACCCGAACTAAAAAAAAAATAATAATTTTAGCAAATTTTAATAACTTTAAAAGGGACACTTGAAGAACAAGGAACCCAGTGATTATCACATCATGTGAAATCATGCAATTACGACATTTGTTTACTAGCACTAAACAAATTAGCCTAAACTATCATATCACCTAACCCTAACTCTAACCCTAATGTAGGCCGAACACATAATCATGTGATGAGATTATCATGAAGATATCACTGGGTTCCTTGATATTCAATCTTCCGAAAAATACAATATACCGTATTTTCGCGAAATAACGTCTACTGCGCGATATTTTGAGTATATGTGCGATATTTAGAGTACGCGTTATTTTAAGACAGAGATAAATCTATCTGTTATATCAAATTATTATATTACTCCCCCGATCACTATATCAAGATCACGGGAGGATTATTATTACTAAAACCCTAAACAACTTTCTTCCAAAAATTGCAACTCATTTATATGTCATACGTGATACAGAACAGAATTAGAGATGTGAACTGAATATTGAAATATTGAACAGATAATCCACGGGTTACTTTAAACCGATGAATATCCATAGATTTTAAGAAACCCGTAGATTATTTATGTTATCTGTTCAATATTTCAATATTCAGTTCACATCTCTAAACGGAATAATTATACTAAAAATCCCAACCCTACCTAACCTTAAAAATTCTGAATTAAATTAGATTCTGGATTCCGAACCTATTATGATTCCATTTCTACTTACGAATTGGTAAATCAAAACATCCAGATAAGTAGATATAATTTTCATTTTTATTTTATTTATTTATTTTTGTATTTTTGAAAATTGGCTCATATTAAGCCTAATTTGAGAAGATTCCTTGAAT